GAGGAGTTCGAATGACACGTATAGACTTGTTTTGGGAATATTATAAATACGCGGGAAAGCTATTAATAAATATAAAACTGATTTTAAAAGGTGTTTGATCTCATAAAAAGTTTATAATGAAAAAAAAAAAGATTTTCGAATACTTACCAAAACCTGTTAACTCGAGTGTCCATTTCATAAGCAATACATAATGTACAGTACGTTTTCCAGCGAAAGCCAGCAACACTCGTAAAAAAGTATATATAAATAAGTCCTATTCTGCCACAAACTATCCCAGACCTCAGTGCATGTCACACACGTAGGTCAACTTTTTCAAATAAATACTGTCTATGTTTCCTTCGTTCATGTTATAATGTAATGTACTGAATCTAGCATTGCCTTCTGTTGTATCACTCTATAGCTTGTATTCCAGTAACGTACAGTACTTTGTCTCGTCGTCCGAAAGATTGGCATTTAAGGTGATCTTGGGGTTCTTGCCCCGGAGTTGGTCCAGACTTAAAGTGCCTTCCCAAACCGGTCCCCCGCGATTTTCAAAGTGGAACCACTCCCCGTCGGCTACTATAGCCACGCCCTTAGCGCGTGGCACATGCACGCTCCACTGGATATTGGTTAGCTTAGCCTCGTTGTGAAGGATTAGGGGCTTATTCAGGTAGCATCCTTCCTTCCACTGTGCATACTGTTTGGGGTAGGGATACACGGGCTGCATTGCCCGCGTACAGTGGATCAGGTAATTGAAGACATTAGGAAGGGACTTACTATCGTCGGACACGGGCAGGGCAAACAACTGGAGCTTGTAGTAGCCCATCTCCGGAAGCTGTATCACAAACTCGACAATATTGTCCTTCGTATGAGTGAACACATATTCGTTATTTTCCTTCTCTGTGCAACAGTTGATCAACTGATGTGTGAATTTTACTTGCTTGCCGCACTGGAACTTGACACACAGGTGATTTTCCCTGACCGTGATACAGGGGTCACTGTGGCTTGAAACACTCAAACCAAGTTCCCCGAATGACCCCTGAGCACCCAAGTAACCTTCAGGTAATTCGGGTCTTACATCCGCCATTCCGAAATGCAATTAACACCTTCCGCAAAATACTAACAGGTATTCAGTGTGCTGCCCGTTTGGACGTCTGAACACTACCGGGTTGTAAATCCGAGAGCAGTGCGATTATTCGTGTCGTACAGTTTTGGTTTGTAGTATATGATACATCTTCTTAAAAAATTTCCGGAGAGGGGAAACTCATCGCTGCCCGTCATCCAATCAGCGTCGACGTATCATAGGGAGAAAGATAGTATCGTCGCTTTGGGTAGGATAAGAATGTTTGCCGGGGAGAAACCGATTTTACACTGCCCTACAATCAACATGTCTTGCGATAAAGCAGATAGCTCACTTAGTAACAAATACCTAAAATTAGATTTTCCTTTAAGTAATCTTGAAAAAAACCCGCATAAAATCAGTTAAATAATACCGTTTCTACCCGGTATAATCTCTCATCAAACCTATGAAACCATGGTGACTTCAGACTTTGAAAAGTTCAAAGAACGGCATTGCTATGTTTATACAGAAAATGCCCGCTTGTACAACGCACACGTACACATGTTTGTATTCCAACTACATACACTGGATTGTGTTAAAAACCTGCTTCTGTACCGGGTCGACTTATCCTGGCTAGTCCTTACCTCCTGCAAGGCTACCCAACACAGATGTAAAAACAATTCCAATCGCTAACAGTTCTGATATTGCTGAACGAGGTCTAGGATCGCTTATCTGTGCGCTTTGTAACTTAATTCTGATACGCACAATAGCACTCCCACACAAACACACACACACACACACGTATAGTATAATAATTGGTAGTTTTAGATGCTGTTTTTTCGTTATAAAGACGTGTATTTTAATTGTAAGTTTCCAGTTCCTGAGTATTGTGTGTTTCCGTGTATCTGAGTATTGTGTGTTTCCGTGTATCTGAGTATTGTATGTTTCCGTGTATCTGAGTATTGTATGTTTTCATGTAGTTTAATTGTAAGTTTCTAGTACCTGAGTTTTGAATGTTTCCGTGTATTTTAATTATGTGTTTCCGTGTTTCTAAGTATTGTATGTTTCCGTGTATCTGAGTATTGTATGTTCAAAGAACCTGACTATCGTATGTTTCCGATAATCTGAGAATTATATGTTTCCGTCTATCTGATCAGTATTGTATGTTTCCGATAATCTGATAATTATATGTTTCCGTCTATCTGATCAGTATTGTATATTTCCGATAATCTGAGAATTATATGTTTCCGTCTATCTGAGTATTGTATGTTTTCGAGTGTCTAAGTATTGTTTGTTTCCGTGTATTTTAATAGTATGTTTCCATCTATTTGAGTATAGTGTTTCCTTGTATTTGAGTATTGTACATTCCACTCTGTATGTGCATTGTGAAGGCATAGCTGTGTATTGCTGTCGTATATCTGAGTTTTTTTATGTTTCCGTGTATCTGATTTTTTTTGTCTTTCTGTGTAGCCTGGAAGAATATATTTCAAAATTAGTGTACATAAATAATCAAAAGTTGTCGCTAAGATTAAAATACACAATTCCAGTGAATAACTTGGAGATATAATGTATTTTGTGAAGATATCAGAATGAGCATTTGCCGAATAGTGTGTCCTTTTTAGTACACACAAATAGTACCAACCAGAGTCAGTCAACAGAGTAAGTAAACTAATGATGCTGCACAAACATTGCAGAATCATGTCTTTATTAAAACCTGTGACGTACGACGGCGTATCACGTCGCGGAACTCTGCTGTTTACCACATACTTCCGGCTTATCAGACATTAATCTGACATAACGAATCAATCCGCAATGGAAAGTAGTGCGATGTTATGACCCGGTAGAAATGATGCTTATGTAAAGAATTTTGCACGCATGTAGCGGTAGACAGGTACTCAGGTGTGATATGTACATTCTCGTGTCTTACAGTTGTGCATTCGCGTGCAAAGATAAATATAACTATGGTTTCCTAAACGATGCTTGATAAGAACACATTGTGGATAGAACAGGAGAATAACTTGTAATGCAATTCAACACACATCGAACCCAAACAAACCGGAAAGCACCCACGTAGAACAACACCAACGCCATGGAAATTAATTAAGTTGGTTAGAGTTATCAGGCGGGCGTGCATTAATCAGTGTCGGCATTGCCAGCCTTCACGTATATCCCAGGGAAAAAAGTCTCGTAATTTCGTTCATACACCTAGAAGGTACACCTCACACTGGAATATCTCATAAAATTGCAATAAATTAACATATTATACATGTACTTGTATATATGTGGATTGAACGGCGTTTTTGAAACGTTCATACTGGTATGAACGCAGATTGGCTACATACAATATACATATTCACACTTCAATGTTCATTCGGTATGAACTCAAATTTTCAAGCATATCTGAATATATATGTACATACATGTATTGTAGTACGATGGGAACATCCAAGACATCTGTAGTCGGCGCACGACCCACAGGGGAATATGAGAAACGATAGTTTCGTTTTGATTACAAAGTTGCATGTAACACAATAACTTCTCAGTTTAAACATATCATAACGATGTATCCTGACACTGAAAATGTATCAATACAAATTTAGCAATCAGAAGATTTACAAGTAATTTTAAGACATTTGAGAGACAGAGTTTGTAAACTTTATACTGATTTTTTTTATAGCTGTAATTTGATAACACATTATTATATTGATATGGATATTTTATTGATTTTTTTCCCTCTCCTACCGGATGTATGATATTGGTAAAAATGCAGATCACTTCAGAGCTCATTTGTTATAAAAATCACAGTTTGCTCACAGCTTTTTGGCCAATATACAAATATTCAAGGCGAACTCTCGCAATTTTGCATGTAATTTCACCCTATTAAAATATGGAAAGTTTTTACTAATGTAATGGTCGTGATTTAAAGATTCCAAAAATGCACTAATCACTGATTAAGCTAATCACCTTTCGAACAATGGGCCCAAGGTGTTACTCATTCCAGTTTTTTTGTTGTTGTCAGACGTGACGATCAAGAACAAAAGATTTGTTCCAACACGCATGCGCGTGGCATTGTTCGTTTTAGGATGAATGACGTAACGGAAAAAATATCACGGTATGTCAAAAAGTTAAAAAGTAGTATGTATATTTATCCAATAAATTCAACCGCCTGTTTTAATCATTCTGTACCAGAAAGATGTGACGTTGTATACGATGTCGGATTTCAGGACCGATCAAAGTGCTGATTTCAATTTTCTCGTTTATATAATAAGATTGATAGAAATGTGATTATCAAAGATGTTTCGAATGTACTTATCGCTGAAGTGCGAGTAAAACTGGAAATGTTCCGAACACCCAATACCGGTAGTTTACGGATTAGTCTATAGATTGTTTGTCGTCAATACAGCCCCTTGTGTTCCTATAAAAATTAAAAATAAACTTGCAAATGTTTCAGTGAAAAGCACATAAATTGTACACGGTATCGAGAAATAGAATTTCTTGTCTACTGGGAACAATTTAGCATAACTCGGTTTAACAAACGAGGGGATCCCATGCAAGCTTGTGTTCACCTGTTACCCAGTCATCATCACAGGGGCCAGACACATTCCAATATACAGGTTGTATGGGTATAGTGTATATTATTCCTCCAAGCAATACATTGACGTGTTTGGTCCCTGTGTATATACTCCTCCAAACATTTGCCAAGAATGCGGAACTCGCCTAGTTTTTCTATACGAGCCCAAAGACACCCGGAGTAGATTACACGTGTAATTCTTATTAACGGTAACAGTCTCTTGGATATTTATTACCTTTTTTTCATAACTTTTGAAAACATTGTGATTCATCAACAAACAATTCTAATATTATCGTCAGTTTTATGAGGATTTTTAATTGACTACAGTTAAGTTTTGATATAGCACCAAACTGTTTAACATGTAACTCGTTTCCCTAACATCACACATCGCCTCTATTGGAATTTGAACACGTACATGTACATGCAATGCAAATGGTGTACGTCCTTACATGTAAATGACCTTAGCTGTTGATAGGACGTAAAACCTGTACAACCTACTAATCCCTCCAACAAACATGTAAGTCGACGCCACGTTTCCCTCTTTTCTTAACCTTCCTATATATTTCTTCCGAAATATTTTGCCAAACATGTTTAAAACGCCAGAATTTTGAAGCTGATCAGGCATGTAATTGCAAAAACGCTGGAATGTAGGCAAATATATCGGACTTGAACAAGGCTACTACTAGTACTATAGTAAAATTTCGACTTGAGCAAAGCTACTACTAGTACTACAACAAACTTCGGACTTGAACAAGGCTACTTTGAGTATTACAACAAACTTCGGACTTAAACAAGGCTACTTCTTGAACTACAATATATTTTGAATTGATAAGGCTACTACTACAACTGCGATGAATTTCGGACTTGAACAAGACTCTCACAAGTACTACAATAACTTTCGGACTTGAACAAGGCTATCACTGGTACTACAATAAATTTCGGAATTGAACAAGGCAATAACTGGTACTACAATAACTTTCGGACTTATTATTAAAGGGTGCAGAGAGCGAAAGTCAGCGTAACCCCTGTAGTATCGAGGATGCGCAAACACATCTTGCCTAAAAGGTGTGTATTGTCGAAGAGGGAAATGGACTGGCCAAACGAGGGGATTATCAGAAAATAAGTTTGCGAAACTCTCAGTCAATGAGATAGTTTCTCGTCTTGGATTCAAAGCCGTATGACTACAATGATAATACGCCTCTGTTTGTGTCTGAAGCATCGAGCCGTATAACGAGGCATTCCGGAAGCAGAATTACTGTAACAAACACGTGCTAAACCCATCAGTCGAAATAATAGAACTTCACGAGCATTCTTAGAATAACGAACCGTCGACATTTCTCAGCAAATTCCAGGATTGCGCGTCTAAGGGGAAATAAGAACTCAGTGTAAGAGGTTAGGATGGATTAGTGAAGGGCTGTGGGTGGGGGTTGTGAGGCGGAGGGGTACCTTAGAACGGAACGAGTATCTGGGATAGGCGAGATATCTGAACATAACATTTTGACATAGAGTGGCAAAATAATGATGACGGTTAAAGCAGTTTTGATAATGCAGGGGAAATAACTCCTGGTGATTTACTGAATTTGTTTATTTTGTTCGTTGTTGTTCGTCTCTCAGGAATAGTTAGGGCAATTCAACAAAGATGACATCCTCTCCGCGATCGTCGGCTTTTTTTTATAAACTGTATAAATTCCCTCAATGACATTCTATTTTTTTTCTTATTGGAGAATTCAAATTATGCAATGAAGAAAATGAATAAGGAAATAAAAAATAAATAAAAAAACAGCAACAAAAACACTTGAAACAATTGCTATTTATCCACAGGTTATATATGTATATATATTGATGCAATATTTAGTTAGAAAGGAATAACCTGAGAGGTAAGAACAGATATTTTATATAATAAAATTTAACTAATCCCCTTAGACATCGGAACGAAAAATACACGATAAACTTTTATCAAAGTTATAAATGATTGAGAAAATCAAATATTGTTATCATGCAAACTATTAAGTAGCGCGTTACATTGATGCTTAGCATAGTTTAAACTCAGCAGAACTAATGATCTGCGACCTCGCAACAATAAATTCTGTATTCCTTATCCATCCTAAAACTGCCTGACGATATAAGCATAGCTGAACCTCGTTATGATCCAACTGTCCCTTTATTCAGCCTCGTTCATCTAGCCAACACTAACCAACTTGTCCCACATACCAATATCCTTAATTCCCCAACCACTAACCTATTGTCCCAGATACCAATATCGTTAATTCACCAACCACTAGCCTATTGTCCCAGATACCAATATCCTTAATCCACCAACCACTAACCTATTGTCCCAGATACCAATATCCTTAATTCAACAACCACTAATCCTATTGTCCCATATACCAATATCCTTAATTCACCAACCACTAACCTATTGTCCCAGATACCAATATCGTTAATTCACCAACCACTAATCCTATTGTCCCATATACCAATATCCTTAATTCAACAACCACTAATCTTATTGTCCCATATATCAATATCCTTAATTCATCAACCACTAATCCTATTGTCCCATATACCAATATCCTTAATTCAGCAACCACTAATCCTATTGTCCCATATACCAATATCCTTAATTCAGCAACCACTAATCCTATTGTCCCATATATCAATATCCTTAATTCAGCAACCACTAATCCTATTGTCCCATATACCAATATCCTTAATTCAGCAACCACTAATGCTATTGTCCCAAATCCAAATATCCTTAATTCACCAACTATTAATCCTATTGTCCCATATACTCATATCCTTAATTCTACGACGACTTATCATATTGTCCACTATGAAGCCTCCTTAATCCAACAGTCACTAATCTGGTTGTCCTGCTTTCCAGACTCGTTTTTCCAACCATCCGATTGTCTTACTATCCTGACCCGTCGATCAAGTCATAATTAGTTATTTATTATCATCAATCCAGCTACCAATAATCCTATGATCTCTCAATTAAAGCTCGTTAATCCAGCCACTCAGCCCGTTGTCATATCATCCAATCTCTTAATCCAGTAATCACCAACCCTGTTGTCGCATTATAAACCCCTTTAATCCTTCTACCTTCAGACCTCATAAATCCATTCATATCTTATCCAGGCGTCGATCTATCCAGCCTTCACATATCCTTAAGTTCTTCTACCCGACCTCTTTCAAGCATTGATCGTAAATCCACTTGTTCAACTGAATGACATAGTGACTGGTATAGGTACTGGGAACATAGGTGACTGGTATATGTACTGGTAACAAAGGTGTCTGGTATATGTACTGGGAACAAAGGTGACTGGTACATATACTGGGAACAAAGAAGACAGGTACATATACTGGGAACAAAGGTGTCTGGTATATGTACTGGGAACAAAGGAGATTGGTACATATACTGGGAACAAAGGTGACTGGTACATATACTGGGAACAAAGGAGACTGGTACATATACTGGGAACAAAGGAGACTGGTACATATACTGGGAACAAAGGTGACTGGTACATATACTGGGAACAAAGGAGACTGGTACATATACTGGGAACAAAGGTGACTGGTACATATACTGGGAACAAAGGAGACTGGTACATATACTGGGAACAAAGGTGACTGGTACATATACTGGGAACAAAGGAGACTGGTACATATACTGGGAACAAAGGTGACTGGTACATATACTGGGAACAAAGGAGACTGGTACATATACTGGGAACAAAGGTGACTGGTACATATACTGGGAACAAAGGAGACTGGTACATATACTGGGAACAAAGGTGACTGGTACATATACTGGGAACAAAGGAGACTGGTACATATACTGGGAACAAAGGTGACTGGTACATATACTGGGAACAAAGGAGACTGGTACATATACTGGGAACAAAGGTGACTGGTACATATACTGGGAACAAAGGAGACTGGTACATATACTGGGAACAAAGGTGACTGGTACATATACTGGGAACAAAGGAGACTGGTACATATACTGGGAACAAAGGTGACTGGTACATATACTGGGAACAAAGGAGACTGGTACATATACTGGGAACAAAGGTGACTGGTACATATACTGGGAACAAAGGAGACTGGTACATATACTGGGAACAAAGGTGACTGGTACATATACTGGGAACAAAGGAGACTGGTACATATACTGGGAACAAAGGTGTCTGGTATATGTACTGGGAACAAAGGAGACTGGTACATATACTGGGAACAAAGGTGACTGGTACATATACTGGGAACAAAGGAGACTGGTACATATACTGGGAACAAAGGTGTCTGGTATATGTACTGGGAACAAAGGAGACTGGTACATATACTGGGAACAAAGGTGACTGGTACATATACTGGGAACAAAGGTGACAGGTACATATACTGGGAACAAATGTGACTGGTACATATACTGGGAACAAAAGAGACTGGTATATGTACTGTGAACAAAGGTGACTGGTACATATACTGGGAACAAAGGTGACTGCTACATGTACTGGGAACAAAGATGACTGGAATACGAACTATGATCAATCCTGACTGGTATATGTACTGGGGACAAAGGTGACTGGTACATAAACTGGGGACAAAGGAGATTGGTACATATACTGGGAACAAAGGTGTCTGGTACATATACTGGGAACAAAGATGACTGGTATACGAACTATGATCAATGCTGACTGGTATATGTACTGGGAACAAAGGTGACTGGTACATAAACTGGGGACAAAGGAGATTGGTACATATACTGGGGACAAAGGAGACTGGTACATATACTGGTAACAAAGGAGACTGGGACATATACTGGGAACAAAGGAGATTGGTACATATACTGGGGACAAAGGAGACTGGTACATATACAGGGAACAAAGGAGACAGGTATATATACTGGGAACAAAGGTGACTGGTATATGTTCTGGGACCAAAGGTGACTGGTACATATACTGGGAACAAAGGAGACTGGTATATGTACTAGGAACAAAGATGACTGGTATACGAACTATGATCAATGCTGACTGGTATATGTACTGGGAACAAAGGTGACTGGTATATGTACTGGGAACAAAGGTGTCTGGTACATATACTGGGAACAAAGGTAACTGGTACATATACACGGAACAAAGGTAACTGGTACATATACTGGGAACAAAGGAGACTGGTACATATACAGGGAACAAAGGAGACTGGTACATGTACTGGGAACAAAGGAGACTGGTACATATACTGGGAACAAAGGAGATTGGTACATATACTGGGAACAAAGGTGGCTGGTACATATACTGGGAACAAAGGTGACTGGTACATATACTGGGAACAAAGGAGACTGGTACATATACNATGTGTGAATCGGGTAGATTCATGTACAGAAATTGTATGCGAGATTATTATATAATTACAGTATAGGCTTTCTTGATATGTGTACATGTTTATACAGAGATAGAAGACTGTTTGGTAAGATTTGTTTATGATTTGTTGTAGCATTTCACCGCTTCATGTCCATGTGGGGTCTGTACCAGACAACGTTAACTGCTTTTGTCATCTGTACCAGATACATGTTGACTTTCGGAGTAAATGGACAAATTGGTGACACTATCTGCGATTGTGGTTCATATGTCAATCGTGCGACAGAATATAAACAGTGAATCAAATGCAAATTCAAAACTCCATACGTTTAGCTTCATGCTAAATACATGTGTAGTTCTGATTTTATTTTATAAATGTTTCAATTTTTAGATAAAATTATTATGTTTTGAAGAGTACAGTTTCTGTTTTGTTCTTGTGAACTACAGTCTGTAACCACTGGTAACCAAACCTGGACCACTTCGTTCTGGTTTCAACTTATACAAAACATATTCTAATTATATTCTAAGCCAATAGTTCCAAAATTATGGTATTTGAAATGTCTTCCGTCTAATAATGACAATGAAAGAGAAGTGTCAATATAAAATTGTATTTGTTAAAAAGTCAGCACACACATACAATACTACAAACAGGTGGTATACATGTGCATTTCGTAAATCATTTCAGTTGGTGTTTACATATCAACACCAAAATGAAATTGACAGATTTCCATCATCCTTTGATATTTACAATATAATGCAAATTCGTTAGTTTTTAAAACACTTATATTTAAAAGTACAACAATCATATTTTTGTTTTAGCATACGATACAAGAGAAAAGGAACACTATAAGTGTTGGAAACAGGAAACGATAATCTTCTTCTGTATAAAAATAAGTTTATTTCTCCGATGTTTTCCCCTTCAACACAATTCTTTATAGTAAATGTTTTGACTTTTTTGTGAGAATTTATCATAATTAATATCCATTTAGATCGAGCACTTTTATTTCACCAATAACAACTATTTTCTATGGTAGCTGTGAAAACAAAACAATTTAATTGGAGACGTCTAAATTCATCAATGCGTTTTGTCAAGATTGAGAAAAGAAAAATAAACTAATACATAAAAAATACGTTTCTAGATATGATTAAATGTGTTTTCCTTATCTTAACTCAACATTCAAAACCATATTACTCATGTTGATTCTGCATATATACTAATGAATAGGAAAGTGAAACACTCGTCATAGTATTGTTATATAGTTAACCAAACAATACAAAATATTATCTAGGTCAGTCACTGTATCCTATCAATATGATGGTACGACTACACCTCGGTTGCTGATTTCCCTTTCCACAGTAATACGTGTTATATAACTGTACAAAAGCCTAGATTATCCGATTTATTTATGTGACAATACACAAAACCTGAGCATTTTGCTTAAGTAATAAAAATAAGCATAAACTGTTCCACTTCTCACTTCAACATCTAACGTTTCTGGCGAATTCGCCATATTCTGGTCTTTAGTCACTGTATGTTAACACTGAATCTGGCAAGTATGCAGTTAATTACACCGCGACCTACAAAAATATACGATATTTATAATATATCATATTGTAAGATTAAAATAAGCATTACAGGCATATCTCAAATTATATTGCAAAACTGATAATATTTATTTCATTTTCAGGTTATGTTAACAAGAGTCATAGATGGCCTGTAGCACTCAACTGGATTGTTCTAAAAAACTATCATAGATGACTTTGAAGTCAAGTTAATGATTTATATGATCCAATCCGCGGTAGACTATATTCTGTTTTATATCCCTTTCTCGCACACGCTTCAATGTGATACAACAAAATACAATAGAGATGAAATGCACTGCCATACCCAGGTTTCGTTATTTAAGGCCTCTTTAATATAGTTCGAAATTAAAATATTTTGACCTATGTGACATTTAAAAATTACCACCATAACCTAAATGAGAAAACACCTGTCAATTATCATCTAAGACAAGATAAGGAAACAGGTTGGAAATTCGAATTTGTCGTTACTACTTTTTACACAATAGAGGATGTACATAAAACCCCTAAGCTTATTGATTTAAAACTTTATTAACATTTGGAATGCTTTTCACTTATAATGAATGTTCGACCCTGACCATCGCTTAGATAAAATATCATAACATAGAATATATTCCTTGCTGTTCTACATACCCTATCCAAGTATCATGACTCTAAACCGTGCGGTTCTTTACAGGAATGTTGTTTGATTATTGAAACACGTCTGCAGCCTCATTTACAGGGGGAACATTTTCAACAGAGGATCCTTTCTATAGCTTCTGATCATTCATCATATCTCTTAGTAGTTCAGTTCTAAATAAGAACCTGTTTAGAAAGACAGTTAATAGACGGACGGATGGACGCAGAGAACGGACATTATACAATACCGTAACTCACAGACACTAAATGTCATTTGAGCTAAATCGGTGTAATTTAACATGATTGAGTAAAGTATCAAGTATGTATGGTCTTGTTTTCTGTTTGAAAAGTCGTATTAATTGTAAACGAATTTACCATACAACCTGATTTAGTTATATAGTTACAGAACTTTTTCCTGTAAACATGCAATATTTTGACCTTCTGGATCAGGTATTTTACAACAGTATCTTACAACAAAATATTATACTTGTCAATCGCTTTACTTTTATAAACCCCATCGAATATAAGTCTTACACTCATAAACAGAAACATAGGTGCATAGGTATATGATAACTACTGTTATATTTTGATTATGACGACACAATTATTACACTAAATCTCGATGCTTTAGGCATTTGATAATTTTATATCAGGCGAGAACATTTGAAAACTAATGGGCTACAATCTTTATGCGATTCTAACCAGCAAATCAAGTTACCATAGAAACCATGTATTTCAGTATGGACATCTGGATTTGTTTTTATCTTTGCCTTACTTTGTTAGGAACCCTTCAGTCGCATGCTCTGCATTTCGTCTAATAGAACGAGACAAAATAAAGAAAACAATTATTTACCAAAACCACTGAAATATGATCAGGAATGATTGTGTTTGATACGCAACATAAATGTGTAGAGTTATATTTATATATTGACTAAAGGCGTTTTAAGTCAATGTCCGCAAGGGAGAGGGAAAATTGATACAGGAAAAGGAGTTCCGAATGATCGTGCTAACCTCCTCCGAGCTGCCTTAACGTTACGGGGAGAAGGGAATGTGTTGCATTTAATTTAATTTGAGTATATTCATAATGTTTGAATCCCTGTCTAATAAAAAGTAGATTTTTTTTCTATTTTATTACCATATCCGCTGTGCCTGCATGGAAGTGCGATTTTTTTTCAATTTTTCTTTTCCATTTTTTTTACGTTTTTTGTCCTTTATCACTCTTAACAAATCGTCAGTCTTTAAAGTCTATATACAAGTTCATATACACTCACGTATAAGTAAATGTATTGAGTTTCTTTCACAAGTATCGGTATAATAGATAGGCCTATACACGTGTTAATAAATGTGTTGAGTTTCCTATACAAGAATCAGTATTTTAGACATTTGTTCATACACATAGGTAAACGCTAATGCGCTAAGGTTCTGTCACAGACTTGGGTGGGTATCCGCGTACGTTACAAAATCGCACATCGCCACCATGACCACCATGGCCATTCCCCTGTCTCCTCCTCGTCCCCAACACAATATGCCATGGCGGTCGAGTACCAGTCCATTTTGCACAGTTTCATTGCCTTCACAATCCTGATAACGGTTGCCTGGTCCCGGGAAGTGTTGATCCAAAGCTTGATCAGCGTCTCCACCCTACGTTTAACACTGGGCTGATCCACTTCGCACTTCTCTATGTCATGGACAGAGAGCCCAAGCTCCAGAAACAGGTTGAAGTAGTCCTTGTCTATGTTGTCTACAATGCTCCCTATTTCACTGACGAGTAGTGGTCTCTTCAGTCTATCCTCGTTAGATTCCATGTCATCTGCAATAATATACAACACACTTTTAAGTTTCCTTGGGATATACTTCAAATGAGTCTAGAAGTTTAAACACGGAAACATCCTTTCACAAACTGCAATTAGTGTAGTGCTACTATACTCACGTATCATTATATCTTTATCATTCTCTGCATATTATCTGGAGTGGTATACTGTTATTCGTATTTACATAGAACGACATATTTCCTTTCAGTCTAATAACCTGCATTTTATATACTATTGAGTGTAACAAGTCCCACAAGTTCATTCGTCTACACTTTTTTTTATTCATTATTACCTAGAATGACACATTCCAAACCAGTCTCTACGGACTCGCCGAGAGAGTCCGTAGCAATGTCGACCTTCGACATGGCCATTGCGATGTTACGAAACGTTTGATTCGGGTAGGCGTATGTCCACTTCAGAAACATCCTGGTTATCTGCGTGACAACTACTAGACTCCTTGTCTGGTGCTCTATGTTTGAGATCTCTGGTAGGGACAGGCCGAGCGCGATGAACAGTTGCTCACATTCGGACGCCTTGATTATGTACGACAGACGACCAAGCTCTTGGGGTGTCGGTCTTCTGTCAAGACAGGTTGCCTCTGGTGCAAAAAAGACACTATTATTAATACTGTATTTTCCTCTTTTTAAATGTGTTTCTCGGAATAACATATCCAATCCCATCTACCATTAGCTATACAAGAATTGAAAATGTCGTCTATGCATCATTAGTTGCCTAGTAAATTCAGTATGTAAATTTTACAAAAAGATCAGTGTTTATAGAGAAAATCATTGCATTGCTTTGTATAACTAAGCGTTTAAAAACATATACTTGCCGTCACTGGATCCTAATCCATGTAAATGTACGGTAAACTGTAAAATAAAAGGTATCAAACAGTCACTATCATGCAACACCATATGTCTTGCATGTGCAGTCGTAATATGTAAGAGGCCATATTTACACTCAAATATTGTTGGTGATTCTAATATTATATTGTGGGATTTCTACCTTTTCATGAGTTACTACTTTGCTACAGAAAACAAGTTTTACCTTTGTTATGCCCCAAAACAACAGGTCTGATTTCTTCAGTCGGTGTTTTCCTCGACATCCCCCTCCTTTACATGACATGCCTCCTTCTGCGTGAATGACACTGTAGAGCTCTACAGGAGTGTCGTACGGACTGAGATGGAAGTTACAGTGCAGTTTGTGTGTGAACTGAAAGTGTTGCTGGCTACTCATCTGCAAAGTGTCCTTTAAAATCCGCTCCAGAGTGGTTCTAACAAGCTGCCCAGAGTTTGGAGGAAGTTTGGATTCGGAAGGACTGAACAATGTTACTGCAATAGTAGACCGCTCCCAGTGCATCGACAAGATCATCCTGCAAAGATCGTTCACCTCGAAACAGCCAAATCCCCTGTAAAGACAGGTTGTATCTTCTGTCGTCAGCAGATTTCTCCTGAGATCGTCTTCTATGTGTGTTGCTGATAGTGATGCTGATCTGTAAGTCTTCATGATTGTGGCAAAGACTCTGTGGAAAAGCTCTTCCGGTACAAAGACATCACGGAATATAAGACATAGGGTTTTTGAGACAGCAAGATTATTCAGCTCGAGATTATTGACGCCTGTGATCATACCATCGGTGTTTTGTAGCTCCATAAGTTTGCTGGGAATGGAATACGTCTCACTGAAACGTGCATTTCCTGTACTGGATTCCGAAATCAGTATCCGTACCATCAGTCCAAACTTTTCCATCAGAGCCAGGAGAATTGGCTTATGGGGCAGGAACTCCTTATTTTTTTCTATGCTGAGTAGTGCATCTATCAGCTTCAGAGTCAACTCGCCTTTTGTCTTGTACAGCTCTAAGTCCCTCGACAGCACGATGTTGTCTTTTGGAAGAAACATATCGTCTGTAATCAGGAGGCTGAAGCAGTCAGCAAGCCACTGGGGGTCGTTGATGACGTGATCAAATTCCCGGAAATATATCACAGACCGCGTGCAATGGAGGTACCTAGACAGAAGTTTTATCATGATTAGGAAACTCATATTACAGCAGAAAGGTTTAGTTTAGATAATATGATTTAACGTCCTATTAACAGAATATGTTCATTGTTGTCACTAAAAACACACGACTGAGCTCTTCCTGTAATAAGCAATATCAAATTTTCATAAGACACTCTAGTTATATGAAGGAAGCTCTCACGCTGAAAACATACTAACATTTTTTCCGAAAAATCCTCCGAAACAAATCTGTGTTAAACAGTGAATACTGAACACTACTTTCATGAAAACACCATTTAATCATTTAAAGTTATAATTTTACAATATTTCAAAAATGTTAAGTATTTATCCATGTAACACAAGTGTATATAATACTCACTCTAGGGCCAGTACGATCTCAGCAACATCCGCCAGTGGGGCTATGGACGTTTCGTTCATTTCAATCACCTTCGCCAATGTCAGTATCTTAGTCCCCCTTTCTCTTGCTTTTAGTAAATCCATCTCGAGCTTTAACCATCTGGTAGGAAGTTTTCTCCCCCATTGATCCTGGTGTTCGGCTAATTCTATGATAGTTCCTCGTAATTGTTTCAGATTTGCATCATCATTGCGGGAAGTTGATGGCAGACGTGGATTCTGGACTTCTGTCCTAGGAACATGAAGCGATGACAGCTGGGCTGGTTCCGTACCTTGGCTATTATCGAGTGTACAGAACCTGACAAACTTGTGTGATGAAAGTTCGGGAAATTTGGAAATGCTTGACTGTATAGCTTGTACCTGTCCTTCATAGTCCTGATATGATAATTAAAAGATGACATGATGTTTAAACTGTTTCACTATTCATGAGTTATCAATGATATATACTATGCCAAAATCCAATTTCGTTTAGAATTTAAGATATATAAATAGAGTTGCGTGACCACACAACGCACCAAAAATACCGTGCACACACCGTGCATACATCGTTCACACACCGTCCGCTCATCGTCCACACAAAGTGCGCACAACTGGGCGATTTAACAATCGTTCGCCCCGTTGTGCGCCTCTCTCCACACAACTGTGCGATTCGGTACAATTTGTTGATCAACCTTACGGAATGAAAATAAAACGGAAGGTTCGTATGCAATAATGTACACTGTGCATATTACTGTATTTGTCATCACAATACTTTAGTAATTTAGATTATGTACAATCTTACAATGCGTGTAACACAGTAAACAGTGACCGTTAGACTGTCAAGAATAGTCTTGGCTCCTAGCTAGGTAACAGAACAGGTAATTCGGAATGAGATAATATTGCTTTCAGAATGAGATAGGATCAACTTTATTTAAAGACGGCTAGTCGATAAAATACAATAAAACATAAGCTCTAATCAGACTCAAGACCTACATAACAATTAGGGGAGACCGGGTTAAGTTTGTCTTTGCCTGTGGCACAAATATAAATAAATAAGTCATGAAGCAGATAAATGCAACGGACATCTCCGGTTATTTTTCATCCTCTTGAAAATAACCGATTTAGGCCGATGGAGTGTGATGTGTTTGGGCGTCATAGCTTCATTTCAGTTTGTATTATATTTTATGTAATGGACTTTTATTCACTGAGAATGTATATTAGTTTTTATCTAAATAAAAGAGTAATTAAACATGAAGATTGTTTTCACTATATGAAGATGTCCATGTAAGACTTGAAACACAATTGTCTTTGCTTCAAAGATACACTTCCGGTTTCCCCACTGGACGTCTACTTTCGGTCGAAAACGAAAAGAATTAAGGGCAACGTGTAGCAAGGGGAAGCAACTCTGTTTACGCACACATGTGTTACTATTCGGCGCCCGAGAGCTTCGCTCTTATTAATAAATTGACCCAAATTATCACAGATAACAGTCCAGAAAGTGATCGGGACTACCCCTACGTAACAAGCTCTCTACAAAAAGCAAGTATGTTAGTGATGATAACACATAACATAACAGTGATTGTCTCGTGCTTTCCGCGACTATACATAGACGTTGGAATAAGGGGAAAATGTGTAATACGACCACTGGAAGGTTTTATCACTTATCACTCACCGTGGAGATCCTCCTCAATTCATCAAGGAAGGTGCCGACAAATATCAGTGGAGGTTCATGTTCCTTTAGCTTCGGTGCATTCAATTCAACTGACGAAAATGTGCCAATCATTCGAATCCATTTTTTTAGTCTGTCTGGATTCAGAAACATTTAATGTTGAATTAAAATACGATTATCAAAGAAATTGCATCGGAGGAGAAATATTTATGATATATTCTTTGTATCATTTTCGTAGATATTACCCGTAATTCCTGCGACTTCAAACGTTGATGCGCCCCTACCACCACGTTAAAGTTCAAATATGTCAGTTTGTTAGTATGACAGTAATTTTTTTAACTTCGGTCTTAATGTATATGTCGAACTACGGACAGATGATGGATTACGGTTACCTTTGGAAGTCTGCTAATTTGACAACATTACTAATGTTTTTCTATGTGAGTATTATAACAACTATGAGGTAACCCACTGGTTGATTTAACTTTAAAACTTCTTATGCTTTTCTAAACCACTTGGAATGGAACAAAAAAAATGTTGTAGTGAATTTGTTCACCTTTTCTTTTTCTGGACGAACATTTGAGGCTTATACGTTTTCGACGTATTTTTCAACCCTACAACGTTTCTTATCGTGATGCATTTCGTGGTTAACATTTTTGCTTGTGGCCACGACGTTATTTTGGTATCGTATTCTTTAACGTCACTTCCGCATCGATCACCGGTTCTATTCATCGACAACAAGTGCTCATTTGGGCAATGGCTACAATAAGTCTAAATCGTAGAGTTCATTATAATGTTCTATCGCGACAACAAGTCAAGTTGTGATGCTTTTATCATAAAATTACATCCTTATCTGCATTTATAGTGTTTTTCTATATCATTATCGATTGTCGCAATAAACATATCCTTCTATTGTTTCTCTGGTTTGTCTTTGGAAGCAATCGCATCACCTTACTATCTACGATGTTTAGTCTTGGTACATATGTCGCAGATTATTTTAATTTTTGAATTTGCTAAACCAATTGAATTTTTACACATGGCATCGATCATGATTCAAACGGTTTATGGCCGGTTCTCAAATAATATTATGTTACTTGAGACCCTTCATAAAAACGTTTGAATTTGAAAAAGGTAAATGTCAGTTCTTTCCTTTTGGTTTAGATGTAACGCCGCTTAGTGTCGCTTATCACATTTGACTTGTAAAGCATATCCGGAAATATCGATTCTGCTTTACTGAAATCGACTTAACAACAATATGCGGTTTTAATTAAAATCAGATTAAATTCAGTAAATGCAAAATAGGCAACAGGAGCCAATTATCGAGGACCCAGATTCGCATTCAAAATATATTTTCTTAGATTTAAGAAGTTGACATTGCTAATACTAACGGTGTTCTGTACATTTTTTTTAATTTGGCTCGAATGTTTCTGATAATCGAACATAAATATATATATATAAATAGGGGAAAATGATATATCAATGTATGTGAAAACTTACCAGTTTCCAATTTGTCTTTGAGAAAATCTGTCAGTCTAAAGACTAGCAGGTATACGCCATGTGACGAAATAAACACATTGTGCGATGCCTGAAACGACGAGTGTCCACCCATATCCCACAGAGATAGGAGAACCCCATCCATGTTGGCATGCTGTGAAGCCTCTTGCACTGCATTGCATTCCTCGAAATGCTTTTCATACAGGTCATATGTTTGTGATGACGTCATTGATAAATCTGTTGCGCTCTCTCGAAATCCTAATTTAGTGTACAAAAACATTTAGGAACAAGGCTTTCAAAATAGCTCATTTGATTGATTGATATATATGCTAATTGTATTGACTTTATAAACTGTATATATATGTACGGTAAAGCTCTTTAGCGTTGCTTATTCTAGCTAGATAGAGTGCTATATCAGATGTTGAATATTTATTATTCAATTATTCTAACTTATATAAATATAACTTGCTTCAGCGATTTACTAACCATATATAATGTAACATTTCCAATATGCGTATCGGTTACCTTTACATGCAAAAGATATTTATATTCGTTGTTGTTTTCACACTATATGATCCTGAGAATGAGCATCTCTAAGAATTTGAAGTACAATTACTGATGTCCGTGTTATCAGAATCATATCATGGATGAAAAACATCTCTGAAAAGTACAGTAAAATACCTGTCTCCAAACCAGCTTTTTTGTTTGCTTGTGCTTTCTTCATCGTTTTGCCTAGACGGATTTCCAATATTTCGCTGGCCGATTTATCATCGTTTTGTATCCACTCGTTAGATTTCTCGTCCACGGAGAACCAATTTGGATGTAAAACAGCTCCCACAGTTGGTTCGCGAATGTCGAGGTCGACATTTTTCCTTTGTAGACGTTGACATGCCGTCGTCTTTCCTGCGCCCTCTCGGCCGGTAAAAACAACGCGTACATGTCGATAAATTTCCACGTCTCCTTTAAACATCTCCATATATTTTTCAAAGTATCTTGGTTCTGAAAGGACGAAAAAAATAAGGCACCATATCGTCATAACACAAGGACAGAGTGCAAACACTTTACTGTTATGAAATTGCTAACCAACGTACAACGAACGTGTTTCTTGCACCTCTCGTAGCACTAGTCATGATGATTCCTGTTAAATCTACTAAAGTATGTCTGTTACTAGTGACCTAACACAAAACATGTTTGTCACTAGTGATCTAGGACAAAGCATGTTTGTCACTAGTGATCTAAGACAAAACATGTCTGTCACTAGTAACCTAAGACATAGAGAACAAAGTATGTCTGTCACTAGTGATCTAGGACAAAGTATGTTTGTCCCTAATGATCTAAGACAAAACATGTCTGTCACTAGTAACCTAAGACATAGAGAACAAAGCATGTCTGTCACTAGAGACCTAAGACAAAGTATGTCTGTCACTAGTGATCTAGGACAAAGCATGTTTGTCACTAGTGATCTAAGACAAAACATGTCTGTCACTAGTAACCTTAGACATAGAAAACAAAGCATGTCTGTCACTTGTAACCTCAGACAAAGCATGTCTGTCACTAATGATCTAGGACAAAGCATTTCTGTCACTAGTGACCAAAGACACATATAACACATAATTAATCACGGTTAACATCCAGGTGGAAATCAGGTCTTGATGACGACTGTAAAATGCCGACATACTAGGATGAGGTGTTCCAGGTCGAATGCTCTGACTAAGTAGCATTGCACATGTATGTATTGCAGATAGGGTAGTTCTACCTATTTTCCATATACCTTAAACTTAAGTATAGATAGACCTGTTTAAAACCTTTACAACATTATATACATAAAATGTGTGGACGATAATTCCCTTCAAAAAATATGTGTTTATCTAGAAATGGAAAACACATTACAAATTGGTCAGTAGACTCCATGTTCAATGTGTCTGGTACATTGTACGTACAGTGAACTTTCCAGGATGAAATTAATTAGGTAGCTCAGGTAGTGAAAAACAAATGTACCGATACACCGAACGGTATGCAATGATAACACATTGATATTAACATTTGTACATTTAAAGATAAAAAAAGTAAACGGTTTTACCGTCGACAATATGCAATCGACGTCCATTGAGACATATGGAAATATATTAAACATAAAGTTTCCATGAAATTGTCTCGTAAGGAGAAAATATATTTCACAGATATTATGATATCTTAATCTATAATATTACAACATTTTTATCTTCTGGATATCGAGAAAAAATACATATACTGCAAGGTTAAACAAAAAAGAAATGCTTTGAAATTTTATGTTACCAGCCCATTACAGTGTTACATATCATGAACATAATTAACGTATTTCAGTTGATATTGGAGTGTTACGAAATAATCTGGATACAATGGAAATAGTTCTGGTTGATCAAAACAAAAGTTCTCCGATGATCCTCCGACAGTATGTACAGTTATTATCAACTGAGAGATAGGGTATATTTTTATTACTGATTCTGTTATAAAGGAAAAAGATGATGTTACAGATATATTATTTTTCTACCTCTCATATTTCAATACAAACATCATTTGTAGGTAGAGAAGAAATAAAAACTTAATTGTGATATTTGTTTCTCTATTTTGCGTGATTATGCGTTAATGGTTGAAAAAAACGAACTTATAAATTAATCTTATTATAATAGTAGATCAACTATATAATAACTCAAAAGTATAAATTTTCGACATATCAACCAAATATTGATGTTTAACGAATAAATACGAATTTGGTAGCATCGGTGCCCGACAAGGAATGTAATAAACAACGCTGTAATACAGATTACCGTATCTATCAAGCACGTTTGAAATATAACATCAGATTTCACATGAAAAGAGAACTAATTAATCAATTTAATCCTTTAACAGAATGCAATGACTGTCCACTGAGAGGTTTGAAAGATTCAGGTGAGTTATGTCTTAATTTCTTAATCTATCTTAAATACACACGTAATACATTTTACAACTTACATCTTAGATGATCAAAAGAAAAAGGTAGAGGCAATATGAATCTTTGTTTAATATATATGTATTGTTCGTAAGTTGTATGATTTAAACAGGAAACTAAATAATCAGTTGATACTAATATCTTATTTTCTTAATAAACCCTAGACCTAGATGCTTTGTATTTGAAAATCGATCATTGCAATACAGCCGACTAAAAAGATTATGCAAAAATAATCGTCACAATTTCGAAAATTATAATCGTCCTCTTTTTACCAATTTTCCCACCAAACGACCGAGAGTATTTGTAATCTTAGATCTTCATTTGTTTTTTTTGTCTACTGACAAATTATTTACATAATGTCCAAATATGTATTGTTTCACACATGCCATACCGCAATATTTATTTATTAAAGAGGGCACTTTTTGTTAAAACCTATTAATATGAAAATCTTAATGACTAATGTCGAAACTCTATTTTTAATGGAATTAAATACAATTTTACAATAACTATGTAAACATTTTATCTAGAAGATTTATGACATCAACAAGCTGTGTTTATTAATTCAAATAAGATTTTAACAACAGTTAAAACAAAAAGTGTTTAAGTTGCGTACAACTTGTTTAAATGTTACTCTAACAGAAGAAAACAAATCCATATTTTAACATGTTTGTCGTAATGACATCTGTCCAAATGCTATTCTAGGTGAATTTGTAATGTCTATCGTGACGTTAAAAATGTGTTTGTTTAGGATGCAATAACTTGTATAATTAAGAGATATATGACACGAACCTAAAGTGTATGAATAAAAACACGTATTAGTGTATAGGTGACGGATCAGTGATTGTTGATTAAAACAAAACTAATGCTTACCTCCTATTGTTAGATCCAACCAGACAAAGAAAGGAGAAAACAAAACATAAAAATAAATGAACATCATCAGGAATTCAGCAAGGTATTATCCGTCGAATAAATACATGTACTTATTGGATAAAGCATATACGTTTAAACAAAAGAAGAAACTTCATCTTAAAATGTTTTAACCTGATTTTCTTAAAATCCAATTGTAAGCAAATTAGTAATGTATATCGTGATGTTAAAGTTGTGTATGTCTGGTATGCAATTACTTGTGTACTAAACAAAAAAAAGAAACGCACAATTAAATTATGCAATCAATAGCCTATGATATTTTGGGAAATTTGTACAAAATTTTATATCAGTATGAAGGGACAAGTCTACTCTTTACAATAATGTAGAAGAAAAGTCTGTGTAACGTCACTCGTGTCATCAGTAGTTACTCAAAGTGGGATACCCGCGAAAAACAAAATGACACTTCAGTACCTGGTGTGGGCACCTTTTGCACGAATCCCTGCACTGATTCTCCTATGCATTGAAGTCATGAGAACATTTATTCGCCTTAAGGGAATGGTGTTCCATTCTTGTGTTAATGCTGCGATCAACTGGGCGCGGTTAGTTGGGGGTTTTGACGTTTCCTAATACGCCTGTCCAGCTCATCCCACAGATGCTCAATGGGAGACATGTCGGGGCTATATGGGGGCCATTCCAGAGGCTGAACGTTGTTTGAAAATCACGACAGACTCTGGCAACATGCGGTCGAGCATTGTCTTGCTGGAATATTAGGTTATGACGTCTGAGAAGTGGAAGGATATGTGGATGAAGTATCTGGTCTCTGTATCGAACGGCATTGAGGTTTTGATCCAGGACCACTAATGGGGATTTTACTCCATGGGAGATGCCTCCCCAAACCATTACAGAAGCCCCACCGAATATATCGCGTTCAACCACGCATGCGTCGGCGAAACGCTCACCGCGTCTGCGATATACCCTTTTTCTTCCGTCTGAGCGATACAGACAGAATCTAGACTCGTCGGTGAACATCACACGCCTCCATCGACGCATCCTAAACCTATTCGGGCCATGTCTGCGCATCCAGTCAAGACGCACTTGCCGCCTCCGTGGTGTCTGAGGTGGCCCGACATAAGGTCGGCGCGCAATGATTCTCTCGGCACGCAAGCGGTTCCTGGCAGTTTGAAGACTAATGGGTCTGCCATGAGTACCTAAGGTATGCGAAGCAGTCTCTACAGCAGTCTTGAATCTGTTGCGCAAGTGCGACAATCGAACCGCCCTGTCTTGTCGTGCGTTTTTTTCAAGTGGACGACCGCTCCTGGGACGATCAGAAACTAACCCAGTAGCACGGAAACGTGTACAGAGACGGTTAATTGTACACGGGCAAACACCAAACTGCCGTGCGCCAGCAGTTTGGCTATGACCATCCAATAACATCGCAATTGCTCTACCCCTCTGAATTTGCGTTAAGCGTGGCATCTCGGTCAATGGCGAAATCAAAATACCAACGTGGAAAATGAATGTGGCTGAACTTAGAGTATCCGTTGAGATTATTTGTTTGAAAAACTCCGGCTTGGCTTGATCACGCCGCGTGATTTGGACTAAAGAAGCTCACAAAGTCACACAATGACATCGTCAC